AGGCGAGCTCTCCTGAGCTAGGGGAACGGGGAGATTTCTCCAGGCGGCCGCCTTAGATATAATCTCCGGAAGTTCCAGGAGAATCCCGCCAATCGACGGCAACACCGTGGTGGCGGAGATAGGGATCACAGGATCATACACCGGACCTACACCGGGTCCCCTACCTGTCTCCTCCGTCCGGAGGGGAGAGATAATGGGGGAATCACCCGGTGATCCCTGAATGGAGGGGACGTAGCCGTCCGACTCGTGCCCGCCATTCGGATCCAGGAAGTCAAGGGCTTTGTCCCCGGAGTACTCCTCCTGGACGGGCCAATCGTCCTCGGCAGCTGCAGCAGCGAGAGCGTCCGCTCTCTGCTGTCTGAGGGCCAGCGGGAGACGGGCACAATGCGAGCATGATACCCCGGGAGTGAGAGCAGCGTTTGCATGCTCTATTCCCAGGCAGGACTCACACTGTGAGTGCCTGTCAAAGCTCATAATGTAGCCCGACCCGCATACGAGTCAATCACTGACGCAACCTTGACTTTCCTGCCCAGTCTCCATCTTACCAGAAAAACAAAGCTTTTTAGGAGGAATGTTTGCTTTTCAGTAAGTAGCTCTTAAAATAACTTGTTTTGCCTGTCAATGCTTCTGCAACGGAGTGCTGAAGAAAAGTAGGAGTGGATTGTAGGGCCTACTTCCTATTTATATGGAAGTGAGCCTGGAGGTGGGGCCCACGTCATAGGTGGGCGTGGAATAAGTCTGTCAGTGCTGCACACGTGCAGTGGGGATTACCCAATAGCGATAGCCTTAGAGGGCGAAGCCTTATACGATATAGAACGGCCTATACATAAATAAACCAGCGACTGTATTCGCCATGACACAGGCAGTCTGTGGTTTGTACTTGTTTAACTTTTGTCTAGTTTCTGAACAGATATGAAGAGCTGTGAGCTCTGAGTGCTAAGAGCTAACGGCTGTGTTGTTTTTTGGGGCGCGCTCATTGAAGATGACGTCACGGCTCCGCCTACACTGCGTTACTATAGTAACTACCCCAGTTCCTAAACTGTAATGGAAGCGCAGCATTCTTTCACACACAGTGACGTCACGAGCTACCCACAATGCAACGCGCACCATATATATATATATATATATATATATATATAAACACGCCATTTTCCTGGAGGTGCAAATATCCTGGAGGTGCTAAAATAAACAGCTAGCTAACGTAGCTAGGCAGAGCGCACTAGGTTTTTTTTCTGAATTAACGACCGTAGAAATCGCTGCATGTCTTTGGATTACATCTCTGGACTTGAGGGGTGTGCTCTAGGTCGTTACCAGCGTAAACTAGAGCTGTGTGGGTTGTTGGATTGCCCTTACAGACTGCCTGCAGATTTATGCAAAACGACCCTCGAAAGTGGCCTTCGGTCGATTTGGCAGCATCTACGTCTATCTTCTGGAAACACCAGGTGAATACCCCACTTGTCACAATAATATTATCATGCCAATGCATATATGTGGTATTTTAGAATTGACTAGATATTGATTAAGGCAATAGACTATGATATTCTGCTTGCACCTCGTGTGAAATGGCGGATACCGGAAGTACGGTGTCGCCCTCGGCCCAATACCCGTATGTGTGTGTGAAAGAATTAAAGTGAGCCGGGCCTAATAAGGCCTAACCAAACCAAGCGAGGCCTGCAGTGGAAACGCGCCATAAGAGTGCAATGTGCAGCTACACAGTAGTCCTCCGTTATAAGACTCAAAGTGAAATATGCTTATACTGTCCGACTGACTGGTTGCGCGTGGCTGCCACCAATCTGCCCTTAAAACAAAACTGTTGAAAGAGGATTCATTTATAAAATGTATCGGCCAAATGCGCAGTTTACATGAACAGATCAGTGGCTCCATTGTTCGTATGAACATGTTTTGCATTCTGTGAATGCTCTGCCGCTTTGCATGTCAGCTGCCGGGTTCAGACAATGTGCCCTTTGTTTGTTGTTGAGCAACAGCTTTTTCACTCTACTTCAAAGGTGCATTCTGCAGGCCGTTCCACGATGTAAAAGGAAAGCAAGCAGTTCATCTCTTTTCACACACTTCATTTATACTCAATCTTATCGCCATCACACTTTAAATGACCTTTCTTGGCTGTTCCATTGAGTATATACGTGAGACTTTTATGGATTTGATTATACTGCTGGCGTTAAGATCAAGCAAAAAGATTGATACTGTAATCAAGACCTTTAAAGGATACACAAGTAGGCCTATTAGGTTTTACAAGAATCCCAGAATGGATTTCCCCTGAAAGATGAACCTTTCATTAAGGAAGCGTATTGTTGCTTCTGTGAATTATGCCTTTTTAATTCCAGTGTACATCTTTTATATTTAATTGTTGAGTGCCCACTGATTTAATGTCAATTAAGTTTTTATGTGAGGTGAGTCGCATGAAAAAGAACCACGTTCTTCTAATCAGATCAATGATCACAAAGGGCAGAGGAAAAATAAAGAAAGAGAGCTGTTAGAACGGGCATTGTAAATAAAACCATAATCGCTCTGTCTGGAGGCCTTTTTCTCTTTTGACTGTAGTTGCTCCAAAACCAGGCAGCTGTTGAAAGGCAATCAAGAGGCAGAAGGATGAAAAGTCATGAGCCTTATTGTTACAGGATTTTATCACTGTTTCAAGCAGTTTGAAAATGTCAGAAAACTCCAAACATAACAAACAGTCAGATGTTTATCCTCTCAACCGTTGTTCAGGTACATGGCTGAAAGCAATGGAATATCGCTGCATGTGCCAATGGTGATTCACATAGGGAGGGAATTAACTTATAGGCATGTTAGGGAGAAACTGAACAGAGCTGCATACTAAATTGTGGAAACTATCACTCGTTTCTCTGAGTAAAAGATGATAGATTAAAGAGGTTACATTGATATGATCTTTTAGATGATTTTAAAGAGGTTGATTGACGTAAAACACTGCACTTTTGGCAGAATAATGATCCACATCTATTGTGCAAAGACGCACTAAGAGCACATCAAAGTTAAGCCATGTCAGGGCTTTTCAATTCATCGGCATGACAGCCTTTGATGAAAAACCAGGACTTTTATCATTGCTCTTTAAAGACATCCTCTGTCTGTTCCCGGCAATCCTGTCAGAAACGGCACGAACAGTTGTTTCTGCTTCAGATTTTTTTGCCTCCCATATGTATGTCATCTATTTAAGTTGGATGTTAGAGAGAGCGGTAGACATGATAAGGATAAAGGATACCTTGTAAAGAGACAATCATGGGAGCCAGGCTGCATAAAGAAATGGTGATAATTAGGCACGGCAAGTAGGATCAAAGAAGCTGCCAACAATGAGCTATGCAAATGTCGGCTCATCCTGTCAGCCACTGAGCAGTCTGTGAAGAAGTCAAATAGCAGACAAATTGACAGGAAGAGCAAAGTTGCACTCCCCATTCATCACGGTATGCTGGTGTAACTGGGACACTAAGGTATAGTACCATTTAAACAGAAAATAAGATGTTCTGCAGTAGCAGAAAGCATGGGTCTGATGTTCCTCCAGCTGCTCTGTTTAGGTAAAGGATAAGATTTAAGGAATGGGCTGTCATTTTTTGTTTGACAGCAGCCCTTTTGAGCGGTGAGCGAGTGAGACACCAGACGTGTACTAACAGTTGCCTTGATCGCATGCAAAGATCAGCATAGCATATCTTCTCATGTTGAGTTTAATCAGCGGCACAGGAGTGGAATATTTACAAAACACTAACATGACAGTTGTGTTTTCATACTGAGCCAAAGTGTGCCTTAGTGAATGAAAATGCATAACTCTTGGCATGTGTCCTGCGGCCAGGCCCATGTTGTAACGCCCTGTCAAAGGGAACAACTATTAAACTGCTAAAAAGCTTTTGATGTCTGGTACAACATGTTCTTCCTGTTTTTCTTTAATAAACAACATGTTATCTTAAGCATCTGTTGCACACACAACCAAAGCAAATAATGGCAAGTTTAATGTGGATCTAAATGGTGTTTGCATAACACACAGACTTGTACAATAACTTACTAATAATGTTAATAATTACACACCAAAAAAGCCTCTGTTGTTTTACAAAACGAAATAGTTTGAAGTGATCCAACATAAATGATTTTTGCTGTAATATTAGTGTAGCCTACATCACAGCACTTTGTGGATAATTAGCTGTTATTTCAGTGTAGCAGTGTACAGCTTTACCCGTTTAATTGACGTGTCAGGCCTACTAACGAATGCGACATTGAATAACGGAAAACGAATTATTTATTAAAAGGAAAGTGTCCTCCTAGTCATAAATATTGGTCTACTTTGAAAACCATGAATGGAGCGGTTCGGAAAATCACACCAACAGAGGACGCGGTTTGACATTCAACGCCACACGAGCTGCCAAACCAGGCGAAAGTGCGACAAGCTAAACAAAACCTACAACCGGAAATGGATCCATTTGCTTTTCAAAATAATGGATAACTTGTCAAATGTAAGGATTTGCTGGGTGTAAACTGTGTTGATGTTGTTTACTTTAATACTGTTGTAAAAGAAAAAAGGCAACATTTCAACCTTTAATTAAGATACAATTCAATAAGTGTACCCTACTCATGTCTTTTTCTGTCTGGAATATCATATACCATTTTTAACCTGGGCAATATTATAATTGTTTATACTCTTATAAGTAGGCTATTCAATTTTTAATAAACAATACATTTTGTTTTTGCTGCTACCGGTCATGAAATAATAATAATTTGGTACAAAATCCGTCAATCGGTTTTTAGTAGATTAGTGATTAAATGAAAATGTGTCTGATAATGTCAACAATTTAATTTGGATAACGAATTCCCTTTTTTATTCAGTAATTAGTTGATAATTTTCTCCTTTTTGCGTGAATGTTTTATCACTTGTTAAAATGTTGTCATGTTGATATTTTATTTTGTAGAAACACTAACCGAAAGTGCCCTACCTGCTGTCTGCCTTGATGCTCCGGGATGTGAGCTGTGTTCAAAGCGCTTCTGCATTCAGTCGGACTGAAGGGAAGTCTGGAGGAAGACAGCCAGTGTTTCCCTGTCTCCTGCACAGATATTTTTAAACATTTATATAATTTCAGATGATACTTCAATGAACAAGCGACTAAATTACCTGCCTATGGATGAAGTTGGAGTTTCCTTCTCGCAGAATAAACACAATGTGACCATGCTGAAGCAGTGACTGTGTTCACCTTCTGCCATATCGGAGTACGTTTATTGGTCGAGGGAAGAGGGACTTAAGAATGGGGAAACTTCAGTCAAAACATGGTAAGAAATGTTCAAGTTTTTCCGCACTTATTGACAGTATTTAAAAATATTCCTATCCTTACAAAGACTAACAAATGTCTTTTTCGCATCCCTGTCTCTGATGAACTGAAGCGTGTAAGCGCAGAGAAAACCCTGAAGGTGAGGATAAACTGGTTATTTTATAATGATTGTTAATTAATTATGATTGTCTTATAAAATAGGTTAAGCTTGAGATGTTTACCTGCTAATCGGTGTGTTTTCTTCATGTCTCAGGAGACAGTTTTGTAGTGAACGCCTTCCTCCGAAAAGGGATGGAAGAATGTGAGAGATACAGCCCGACGGATCACAAGCTGAAGAGCATGCAGGTATGAGGCGTTTATGGCTTTATTTGAGTAAAACAAAAAAAAATGCATGTATATCTGTTGTTTATTTTTTTTTTTAAATGCTATGTATAATTATTTATTCTGTCTAAATTGTTAAATGTTGACTGTTAGAAATTCCATCTTCTTATGTTGCACATGCAACTCTCATGTCAAAAGTGTGCCCAGGTGTGTATGCGTGTGTTTGCTGATGGGGATGAGCCTGTCAAGCACTTCAAAGTTGTCTGTTAGAAGCTGTTACATTCCCTCTTCCGAAGAAAAAAAAGAAGCTAAGAACTTCTTGACCAGAGGGGAAGGGGAACAGTTTTCATAAAGCATGTGTGAGGACATGCTGATGTCTTTGCAAAGTTGTAGGTTGTTGTTCTTTCTGTCATGTCTGGCTCCGGCACAACACTGCAGCGGTTATTCCCCTGCCAGCATCACTGGATGGGTTATGACAGCTATGAGCCCTGTGTGTGAAGCGGCTTGGCAAGGCAACACACACACACACACACACACACACACACACACACACACACACACACACACACACACACACACACACACACACACACACACACACACACACACACACACACACACACACACACACACACACACACACACACACACACACACACACACACACACACACACACACACACACACACACACACACACACACACACACACACACACACACACACACACACACACACACACACACACACACACACACACACAGAGGCTGGATGGAAAGGTAGTCGTTTCTCAGACTGAGGGATATAACGTTTGCTCTTGTGGCTGCTGGCATCATGACTCAGGGCTGTGTCTTTTTCCTCAATGCCTCCCATTCTACTGCGGCTCCCAGTGGGCAGCCCTTGTGGCATAACATTACATCACTTCAATTAGTGTGTCGTTTTTGAGGGGTACGAGAGTCCTGAGGTCTCAGACAGACATTGCGAGAAGTTCACACAGAGGTACTGACAATCTGTGATGTGGGTGGTTGTAATAGTGGACGAGTTATGGATTATATCAGGGCTATAAACCGCACACTCATGGCAAATTAAAGGAGAACTTTACTCTGCTTCAGAGGAGGCTGAGTTCACACTCCCCTCAAGGAAAACCACCAAAGGCACAAGTTTGGCACTATTTAGTAGGTGGGTCCCACCCTCACTTCTATCAAAGTCAGGCCCCGGATTTATTTTGTGTCATTAATTGGTTACATTAGAGGCTCATTCCCAGACCAGAACTGGATAACTATCAGCGTTTAGCTAACCAGCCTACTACTTTTCTTGATTCTTTGAGGCTAATTTAGGATTGGTTGAGAGGAGAGGCGCCACATATGGTATACAGCATCAGTCATGATGTATTGATGGGAGCCAGGCTGAATATCATCCAGGCTATATTCTACTATAGAAAAAATAGTATTGATTTTTGTCTCAAATAAGGGTAACATGAAGTTACATCGAAAAACATCCAGGTTTAAAGCAGTGAAAATGGGCTTGGTGAAACCCAAAGCAGGATTAAAAGTAGACCCAATACAATAAATCCAACGTATATAGAACACTGACAGAAAATCAATCAACAAAGACTTATCCAAATAATACATTGATAGATTGTTTAAAAAAAAAAAGCAAACTATTCTGAAATGTGCAGTTTCTCAGTCATGAGGAATTTATGCTTTTCTTTACCTAATGTCACATATCTTTTGATGTCTGACTGTTGATTGGACAAAACAAGCAATTTGAAGACAGAACTTTGGGCTTAAGGAAATTGTAAAGGGCAATTTTAAGTATTTCTAACTTTTTACTTAACAATGCCAAACAATATATGATGAAATGTGAATATATTGTTCAGCTTTAATGATAACGAATGTCGTGGTTGTTGCCCTGATGGAAAGTATCCCATTTTAAATAAACGAGTAGCATGAATGAAATTGATACTCGGATGATATCTTGCATATATGCTCACTATTGTATCGCAGAGGCAAGATGTGAAAGCCTGCTCGTATAGTGACAGCTCTGTTCATGCTGTTTGAAATGAGCCCATGCCTACATTAACGTAAAGATGGATGATGTCCCCGGGGAGTTTATCGTGCTGTATAGTTTCCCATCTAACAGGCTGACTTTCAACAAAGATAGAATTTATATCTGCAGTAAGACTGTAACGTTTCCTCTTTTGATCCCATACACCGTTAATTAATTCTTCACCAGGATGGGATTACATTGTGACATTTCCCAGATATAATTATCGGATTATACGTTGTAAGATGTCTGGAGACCTTTGGACCATGATTTAAAAAAAAGTCAAATAGGAAACTGCATTTTAATGAGATTTGATGATATTACATGGATTTCTGCCATGAGTGTTTTAGCATATAGCTCTCACCAGACAGCAGTTTCACCACGCAGCCTTGGTTGATGAGCAGCAGGGACAGATACAATTGCTTATGATTTTGTACAGGATGAGATTGGCCAAATGCATTGTTTAGCTATGACCATCCCCCTCCTCATTGTCAAATGGGGGAGTAGGATTCCTGAGCTGTCTGGCTGCGACTTCAAAGCGCAGAGCTGGGAGTTATAAAAGGGCTCTGATATCAGTGGAGCCTCCGAACCCTCACCCCTCTATCCCCCTGCCCTGTCCTGGGGGATGGGCTGAAGGATGGAGTACAACCAGGAAAACAAGCCTGTGCCCAACATCAGTTTGTGTAAACCCATCCATCTTTTCAGTAAAGCAGTCATTTCTTTTCAACAAATTGTGAATGCTTTGACTCGCTTTGGCAAGAAATAACAAAAGATCAAAGGATGCAAAGGCCTGTTTAAATATTGATATCACCGCAAACCATGATTCAAAATTACAGCTGGCAGGTTCCTCTCAGTGTGTAACCTTATATGCTCTTTAAAAAGAGGTATTAGTGGACAAAGAGAGCGTGATTCAGCAGGATGACTTGGCTCATCCTGGCAACAGTCATTAAGATTTTGACACTTCTTTGCAGGTGCTCAAAACAACAATGTTACCTGTTAAAGCACCTGGTAGGAAATAGTACAGGTGAGATCAAAGTGGTAGTCCAAGGTATCTGTGGTTATTACATTTATAAAATGCAGGAAAAATCCTAACTCTGAACTCATCCAAATCGCGTTCATTAGTGGAAGAGCTCTGTGAAGGTTCACTGTGTTTCACCTCTGGAAACATCAACACATCCACAGTCCAGACCCTCACACACACACAACCACAGTGCTTCATTTTGGAGCTTCAAACAGACATGCTTGGATGCCCAAATAATGACAGGCTAATTCAGCTTTTCAGCACCATCTTTTGTCTCAAAACATCCCACAGACTTTGCCTGTGAAGAGGGAGTGTGTCAACATTTTTAATTCTACAACAAAGAACTTTATTATTCCACTTTGAAATGTTAATAATATCACACGTGAGGTTAAAAAGGCTCAGTTAGGGATGCAGTTGAATTTAATGATGGGCTCAAAGCAGCAAGACGCTCATTTATTGTGACTTGTGGAGAGTTACACAGCCCTCACTGCTCAATAGTAAATCTAGTTTAAGTGCAGAGTTCCCACTTAACTAATTGTAAACTAATGTTTTTTTTAACATTCATTTTGAATCTATGAATAAGACTTTCCCTTTATATAAAAATCCTCATTTGGCAATCCTCCTCAAAATGGATATTATGTTTGGACAATTTTTCCGCTGGGCATTTGAAAATATCTTCGAGTCACCGTGTTCCTTTTGAGTTAGCAGTATTTGATTTGGATCTGAAGCTGGCGTATCTGTGTAATCTTAAGGTTGTGGCCCCAAATTATACTTTATTTTTCAGTACACATCCAAAAGTCTAAAAGTAATTACTGTTATTTTGTAGTCTTGAATTGTGTGCACAGGATACAATCGTGACGCTCCTAAGGTTTTTGAGAACTCTTAAGAAATATTCTCATCAGAAACATCTCATGACTTTTCTCTTCCACCTCACTAACGCCAACAATCTTGACCTTAATGCAGCCCAACCAGGGAGCAATACATGGCGGAGACGAAACAAAAAGGTGTGCTCATATATGTACTGCTTTTGAAGGGACTTGAAGGCATTTGGAGAGTTTGTTTTTTCCAGCCCTTTTTTTTGGGGGAAATTGGCTTCACAAGAAGGCGAGCTGTGAGCCTTCATCTCTGAATGAAAAGCATGTGGCTGGCATCCAGAACAGCGGGGTCTTTCAGCACGGCCCCGGCAGACATCTGTTCCTGGTTTGTACAGCAAAATCCTGGAGCAGGGAGAGGGGCTGTGGTGGGAAGGGGGGAGGGAGAGGGTGGCGGGGAAGAGGAAAAGAGGAGGAGGAGAGGTTGGGGTTTTTAAGGGTGTTTTTCATGGGGGAGATATTTGAGGGGTTTTAAAGGTAGTAGGGGGAAGGGGAGTAATGGAGAGCCACATCTGCCTGGTCCACTGCATTGTTGGGCAGGAGCTGACCATTGATCTCACTTTGCCAAATCACTTGGGACTTTTTTTTTCTATATTGGTTGCCATTTGTCCTGAACAAACATTCACATCTCTGTCAGTGTAAACATCATCACCTGGTCGGCTCCAACACCCGTCCCAAGTGTGAGATGCTTGTTTTAGCCATTCTTTCATGCTGGAGTGTGTGAGTGCGAATCACCACACGGCTCCTTCGCCTGTAAGCCAGAGGTCCTGTCCCTCTCTCACTCCCTGACCGTGTGTTTGTGAGTGAATGACTGAGTGAGAGGCAAAGAGTGGTTTGTGTGGCCTGTGCCTTATGGAGAAAGACATTAGAAACACTGCAGGCGGATTAACTGTTTATTTTTCTGAGGATATTTATACGGTCTCAAGTACTTTGAAGTAGTTTACTCACTTTCTCCCTAATTCCCCTGTGACCTACACTTATGGCCTCTCTCTGGCCATCAGGGGGAATCACACATGGTTCACGATCCTTCAGCACAAACCAGGCCCTAATTTATCTTTCAGAGGTGTCTGGAAAATAATTAACTAT